GAGAGAAACGGTCATTAGTTACGCGCTAGTCGTGGTCTCAAGAAATCAGAACAACATTATTCTGCTCATAAGTTGGAGTTTTTGTGTCTCAAATGGTCAATAAGTGAAAGTTTCATGATTACCTTTATGGGCACAACTTTGTGGTTTTCACAGATAACAACCCGTTATCCTATGTTTTGACAAGTGCTAAACTTGATGCGACTGGTCATAGGTGGCTTGCAACACTTGCAGTTTATGATTTCAGCATTAGGTATCGCCCTGGCAAGGCCAATGGGGATGCGGATGCGTTATCGAGGGTTCCAGGACAGGTGGAAGAGTTGGGACAAGTTCACAGAACAGATTTAGACAGAATCTGTACAGGCAATTTGTGGGATTGTGGATGCTCGGCCGCCATGTTGAGTGTCTAAGCTCTTCAAATGTTGTCATTGACACATTGTGTGATATTTCTGGTTCCAGTTTAAGTGATATGACCAAAGCCGGACTGGCGGAAAGCACAGTCTGAGGATAGGAGTTCTCCAATGGGTTATCAAACAGGTTCAGTCTGGTTCTAAACCAAAGGTGCAGAAGTTTCATGGTTCTTTTGAGGAGATTGCTTTCTGTAAGACTTTTGATCACCTTCAGTTGATTGACGGAGTGTTGTATAGGAAATGTGAGAAAGATGGAAAACCAATCAACCAACTTGTTCTTCCAGCTTTGTATCGCGTGAAGTCTTTGGAGTATTTGCATAATGACATGGGGCATCTTGGTAGAAATCGCACTTTATCTCTTTTACAGGACAGGTTTTACTGGCCAGGCATGGTAAGGGATGTGCAGGATTGGATTGGTGGTTGTCCCAGGTGTTTAAGGTGAAAAAACTCCTACTGGTTCTAAAACATCGCTGGTTAGTATACAGACTACACAGCCATTGGAGTTGGTTTGTTTGGATTTTCTGAGTCTTGAATCATCAAAGGTGGTTTTCAGCATATTTTGGTCATTACGGACCATTTCACGAAGTATGCACAGGCCGTGCCGACGACGGAAATATGACAGCAAAACAACAGCTGAAGCTCTTTTCAATCAGTTCATTGTGCATTATTATGGCATTCCAGCCCGTATCCATAGCGACCAAGGAGCGAATTTTTGAGAAACAAGATCATTCGGGAATTGTGTTCTCTCACAGGTATGAACAAATCCACACCACACCGTATCACCCCATGGGTAATGGTCTTACTGAACGTTTCAATCGCACTTTGTTGGATATGCTGGGTACCTTGCAACCGTCTCAAAAGTCTGATTGGAAATCTCATGTCAATCCACTCGTTCATGCATACAATTGCACACGTCATGAAACTACAGGTTATTCTCCACATTTTTCTAATGTTTGGTCACCATCCCTCGTATGCCAATAGATTTAGCGCCTCGGGTTAGAAAACTGGTGATAAACAGTGTTCGCTATCAAAGTATGTTGAATCTTTGAGAGGTCGTTTGAAGGAATCTTATGAGTTGGCATCTAGTTCAACAAAGAAAGCTCAGGAGCGTCAGAAGCTGAAATTATGATGAAAAAGCTCGTTTAGCCACTCTTCATGTTGGAGATAGGGTTTTGGTTCGTTGCTCTTGCCTTTGAGGGTAAACATAAGATCTCTGATAAGTGGGGAACAACAGGTGGGTGTGTGTGGTACTTGATCAACCCTAATGTTGGAATTCCAGTATTTCGGTGCAACGGGAGTGATGGAGTTGGTAGGAGAGATGTCTCCACAGGAATCACCTGCTACCCATAGGGTTTCTTCCGTGCTCAGAGGAAAAGGTTGCACCAGTTCCAAAGCCAAGAACACGAACTTCGTTACCACAGCATGCTCCTGAAGAGGTTCATGAGGTTTCTGTTGAGGATGTGGTAGATGAGGTTGGTTCTGATGAGGTTGGTTCTGATGATGAGATTGTAGTTACAATGGACCCTCCGTGTGTGTAACAAGTACAAAACAAATTTTCCCTGTAACAAATACAAGTGTGTAACAAGTACAAAATATACAAATAGTAAAATGTTCTGGAAAAGCAATCTATTTTAATATGTCTTGTCTTATGTTCCTGTTTGGAATCAATTAATAACACCTTAAACAATAATACAATTGTCAGTGAAAAGGTTTACATTTTCACAAGTCCATGATTTATTTATAGTCACCACTGGGTCATGGGTCAAAAGTAGTTCCTATGCAAATTAGCCAAGTCTTAATGAGGTCAGGTCTGCTGTCTTGTCCTTGGCTTTTATTGGCTGAAGATGTGCAGCATCTTGATTGGATGTTGAATTTAGTTGCATTTGGAAAGTGTGAAGTTTGTTCACTTGCTGTCTTTCTCCCAACCTGGCAAGGTGGTTTGAAAGTCATGGGTGGTGGACTGTGACTTTGGTGAATTACAGGTTAGTTACATTTGGTTTTATATAAAAGGAATAAACTACAAAAATATGTTTAATTGTTGAAAGGTTAATTCAGTATTTATTGAAACTGAATTTATGCATTTGGTGGAGGTATATTTTGACCTATGGTTAGAAATTGTTGATGTCAATAATTTCACTTACAATTGATTCAGATTAATGTTTGAGTCCAAACAGTTTGTACGTTTACTTTGCTGGTGAGAATTAGCATTTCCATGCTAATTAAAACATACATATTTTAGGTTCTTGGTGTTTTGTTGGTGCCTCACAACATGTGGCCAGTTTGAAGCAAGTTGTCCCATAGATGGTAAGACACGTTGATGTTTCATTGTTTTGAAGATGCCAAAGGTGTTCCATAATTCCTAAGGATCTTAATATGAACCTGAACCATTAATTTTGTGATGTCAATTTGTTTTGAGTTATTTTTATATGTTCAGTGATAGAGCTGTGATTGTTAATTATCTGAACAATGTGCAATGAAATGAATGAATGTGATAAAATAGGTATTTTGATGGAATGTTATATATTCATATACATTGTTTCAGACTTGTATTATTATATACAAACTACAGTAATAAAAGGAACTTGCAGCCTCAAGATGCTTCAAAAGGTTGTGTCAATTTGTTGTCAAAGAGAGCCATCCCGTTCGCACCTAGTGTATTGGAAAAAACGCACTCGGTAACGCATGCGCGTCAAAAATGCGGGCGTAGTCTAAATCCAGCCTTATGTGTAGTGTCTGCAAGAAAATGCCTTGAACCTTTGGCTTCTGTTAGGTATAACTATTTAAAACAAAATCTATTTAAACTCATTACTTTTGTTTATTTATTTTTCGCAGTGGAATAAAACAACACTTTCAGATCCAAGGAAGCCGACAGTGAAAGCAAAATTAAATTATAGCCGAAGTACGGTTCAAAACCGGCGGTTGGCTGGACAAAAAGGTGCCGAGAAAAACATATACATAGTGGCAGACACCCCTGTTCTCAAAAACACATTTATATGCAATGTTTGTGTTTACCGGTATGTACAATTATTTTACAGAAAAATAATAAATCCTTGGACTGGTGACACATAAATATGTTTAATTGACATTCAAGACGTGTTAAAATATTCAGCTTGCTAATGAATACTTTAAACTAGGGTAGCCTCATACCGAAAGCGTACATTGCTTTTCGCTTTTACCTCGAGATCACGTCTTGCAATTGCTGGGAAGCAGACGGATCTTTAACATCTTTCAGGGGTAAGCGGCACAAAACGCGAAATTGATGATGAATAAGGATGACAGTTCGTGGGATTAATCTGTGCGCCAAAGAGTGTAGAACTTTTAGAAAAATGATAATTTGTACCGATGCTTGGTTAAACGGATTTCCGATGTGTACCGCACGAAGACAAACTGACTGCGAACCTGAAGGAACGCACTTGCTGGATAAACTTTGGAAGGAATGGTATTATTTATTGTCGCGTGCTCTTGGCACAGGTAGTTTCAAAAGCTGAGGGAAGAGTAAACGTCATAAGGATTAAGGACAGATATTTTGTTATTATCAGTAGTAGTTCGGTAACGGAATCGTCCCTGTTCCCGAATAATTTGAGATGACATTTTACAACTGTTCATTGTGTCAAGGTCTCTTGTATTATTAGCGAAAAAGAAAATATATTTCTACATTTGAAGAGTTCTAAGGCCAGTGCCAGATATCTTCATTCTTTTAAAAGGATCTTCTGGTCCCTAAAGTTGTCATATTTCAACATGTTTAACATATATTGGCATCATCATCAGGCATACAGTTAACAACTGCGGAAAACGTCACGTTTTAATCATATTAATAATATTTATGGAATCTTGTATATGGTCACGTAAATTGTTTGTTACGTATCACTTTCAACAACACAAGACCTGTGAAGATCCGGGTCAGAATATTAATATTGGTCTTCAGTGACCCATGCTTGTCGTAAGAGGCGACTATCGGGATCGGGTAGTCAGGCTCGCTGACTCAAGTTGACACACGTCATTGTATCACAATACATCATGATCATGCCGTTGATCACTGGATTGTCAGTGCGGCGCTAAAACAACAAAACAAACAAAACCAAACTAAACCAAAACCGTTTTACCTCGCTCAAAGACAGGTAAGTTTACAAATAGGGCGAGCTAGTCTGAAAAGACATGGGAGACTCTTTTTACTAATAGGGACGATATTAATTTCAAACCACGTTTTTATCTTGGTAGGAACATAACAGTTTATATGTTGGTGATTATCGTAATGTAAAGCTGAGCTGTCGATCGATACACTGAAAGGGCAATATTAATTACTGTTAAACAGATAATAGCATTTATGTCAATAGTGATGTTTCTATCTGTTGTGGTGTCATTTTATAAGATCTATTTACTTCTATTCAAGTTGTATGGCTAATAAAAAAATTTAAAACTACAAAACGTCGGAAATATATTTTACGTGTCTCTTGCGAATGAATGCTGTAAGAAGCCAGCCAAAGGTTTCTTGCGAGTACCACCATTCCATCACTTGAGACAGAGAATATGTACTTCTTCATGTGCTCAAGTGTCTTCATAATCTCGTCAAATTCTTGGAGCTGGTATAGTCAGCCCTGTGTGATAACGAATGTTCCTCCCTCTGAAAGAAAAGCAAATGATTTAGGAGGGCGATATGACGCTGTATATACCTATTTGCGGTTTATATGGAATATATACACAATCTGTTGCAAAAACTCGAAATATCAATTGGTGAACATTCTGTAGATTTAGATTATCATCATTATAAAATCGCGAGCCGACTACTCTATTGGGACTGACACCATATGGATCTTTCTAAGATGCCTAGCGGTTAGAACGATCGAAAAAAATATACATTATCAGACAATAAAGGTATAGTTTTTGATGACGTAACAATTGAATGACGTTATCCCGTCACTGCGCCATTCTAGTGTGCCCCGTCGTAATCGAACCATTTTACATTACGTCACGATGTAAAGCGACGTCACGATGCATGTCAGTTGTCATCGCCTCGTACTACCTCCTACAGTAAACTACTCCGTTGCATCCCGTTTCTGGTTTGCAGTTGCTTCACGCAGCTAACATCACTGGTGGAAACATTACGTTTATGTTTTACGACGGTTAAAATGTGTCAATTCGACTCACAAGTTTTCAGCGACACGGTAACGTTCGCAATGTTTACATTCCCACAATGCAATCGTGGAATGTCGCTTGACCTACTCAGCTTCATCTGGATGTACTGATCTAAATTTACGTTGGTAGTAGAAATGCGATGTTCATATTGTCCCATATGGTTTAAGTTAATGACAGATGTAATTAAAATAATTCAAAGAAGATATTTAATCCGAACGTAAACCGTCATCAAACTGTTATCATTTGTTTTTTTCTGGTAACGTTCGTATTAACTTAGGGGCAGACACATCAATAGAACAGCGCGCCAGTTAGCCCTGTGTAAGTGAGGATTCTTAATTTAGGTCACCGACACCGTCGTTTGTTTTCTGCCTTAAATTAATCGTAATTATCCTTAGAAAGTATTAAATTTGGCATCTTAGAAGAGATTATAGCGGCTCTACCACGATGTAAGGTAGTTATTATCTTTCGCCCTGAACTATTATAGTTAAAGTACGAGGACGCTTGCGTCCGAGTGCTTTAACGTTATCATAGCTCAGGGCGAAAGTGTGCTTTACTACACTATACATGGTGGTAGAGCGAACTGTATTTCTTAAATAAAAGTTGACACTCGATCGTGTTCCGTGAGTTAGGTATATTGGGGACTATATACCCACATCACCGTCTGAGAAGTAATTGCTATTTTGTTTTCTTGCTAAGTTTAATGACAGTTTGTAACAATAACATATCAAATTGGATTGTGCAATATGTTCATGGCCATAAAGTTCTTCAGGGCTAAAGGCAGGTGCAGAGTCCAGTCAACGAAAGTAGTTTTGTGACTAAAATTACCTTCTTTTGATAGGCATTTTAAAGTTGAGTTGATGAAGAATGATGACAATTGATGTTTGACAAGTGGTGTTGAGCAACGACATCAGAATCTATGTCGAAACGTCGCCTTTCACAGAATAAAAGAAGTCATCATTCTTAAAACAACCTTCGCTGACAGGACCCTCCACGCTTTATTAATGACGTTTGTGTTGGTAAACGCGCTGTTATAGGTTGGAGTAAGAGTCTAAGGTTTGATGCCGAGGATTGCAGGAAGGCAGTGTTCGAGACATATTTCAGATGGATTCGCTAAGAATGGAATCTACATGGCACACATTTGAGGAATGTGTACAACACTCTGCTCCATTGACGGAGTATTGTGTGTATGTTATGTGTATGATATATCGAGGTATTTAATGGCGTCTTTACCTTTTCATCCGACATGCTTCCTCTATAGTATCAGGGAGTGGGTTGTTTAAAGTTTCAGGCAATACCAAGGCTGCCAGTCCCGCCACAATCATTGTAGTTCCAATTATAATGAGAGGAACAATCGGACCAAAATCTCCAGATATCACTAGAGCCTGTGACAAAATATTTTAAAATACCGAAAGTACAAATTCAACATAAATAGGCTTTAGAAACAGATCATAACATTAAACTGCAGTATGTTCTCGCATGTCTCTGTTTGTTTATTGCTACAATGTAGTTTTCCATGCTTATTTCGAAAGGTTCATTACATTTAAATTTTAACTTTCCGGACAGTATAGTATCCGTAATTAGTATTCAGCAAACACTGGTTCCTAAAAACTCATTATTATGAGGGCCCGTGCTAGAAAAGTGTATATTTTCAGCATCTCAACTAAGAACATTTTTCTCAATGGAACTGGTTCATTTTAAAATAGTTTTCATGTATCTATGCCTAAAAATACTAGACCAGGGTGTCCCAATGGTATATAGTATGACCAGGAAATTAAAAACAAACCAGGCTAGCAATGTATGGTGATATGGTTCCTCCAACCCCTGGCGAAGATGTTGGCCGCTGCGAGAGCTGAGCTTCTGATGACTGTCGGGAAAAGCTCTGAAGAATAAAGCCAGATGATGTCGAAACTGGCCACTACAAACCCCTGACCAGTCAAAGCTAATGCAATGGTCAGCCAGTTAGAGCTGGGGAGAAGATACATCTCTTTGTAAATGATTTTCGTTGTAAATACATTGATGCCATTTTGTGCCTCTACTGCAACTAGATCCTGAAGAATTTTTAAAACATGTCAATAGACAAGTTAACACTATTAACACGTTATATGGCTGACACGCTCGTAAAAGTACAGTGACTAGATAACACGATGTGTCGTTTTAGTTCTCTCACTTGGTTGTCGACAATAATTTGATTGTTACAGACGTTTGGTGTTGTGGACAAATTCAAGGAGATTAACTGTATGTATATATACTGGACAAAATTAGTTTGGGATCATTCATTGACACACTGGTAAAATATCAATCATAAACATACCAATGTCCCTAACTTATTTTGTCCAGTATATAAAACGACAAGAGGGATATATATATATATATGTTGTATCCACATGACCAGTGTTGACTGGATACGTGACTGAAATGACTGTCAACACCAGTCTATATACCGAGTAGTGAGTGCTGGGCGTGTAGTTGTACGCCGTTTTAAACAATGTTCCAGCAAATACAATGCCTGGGAATAAATATTCTGGGAGGAGCAAGGGCCCAGTGAAACCTGGACATTCATGAGGACACTGACACACCTTATAAGGCCTTTAAACGTATTCCTGCTGACATTACCTAGACCAATTGTAGTATTTTCTAACATTATATACCTAAATTGTATAAATTTCATTGTAAAGTGGTAATTATTCGTATTATTGGCTGGGATTTCAGAATTGAGCTGTGTACAAACAGCTGCCTGGCTACGCTTACCTTTCCATTTGGTAACCAAGCCGTAACAAAAACACGAAAGTATGTTCACTGCAGTTATGTCACTCGTACACACTTGTTTTAAGTGAACATTACTTACGCAATACTTCAGCCATGTCGTGACGAGAACAATTTATACACTAATAGTCACTATATTTAGAGACTGTAACAACCATACTAGGAAACATGGGAACAGACAGAACGTCAGGTCCCTGAATTGTTCAGCTGGATTTTCAGGAAAGTTATTTTCCTTCAGGTGTTGGCAGTCATTGACATTTTTGCTGAAGAGTAAACATCACACATATTTTAAGATTAAAGTATTGGTAAGACAGAAGAATACTTTGTAGAGTAAGAAGCTAGTGGTTTCTGAATACCGTTGCATCAGTCAAGGGAATATTTGTTCTAGTGTTTTCCTTTGTTAAAGTCTAAATGGTCAAATTCAAGTGGTAATTGAAAACATGAAGCGGAATCAAAGACAATGGGTCAAAATAAAAAACACCCATGCTTTTTGGAAGTCGGTGAGGGTACTTTGGTATCCTCAAATATTCATGTGTAGTTGTCCTCAAATATTCATTACAGGATGTTTTGTAGCAGATCTTATGTTGAGTGTAAATGGCAAAAGATTTTAGAAATGATCATTATATTTCCCTTTACGAATCACTGCCCTGTCCCAAGGATGAACTGTTCCATGGTTTGTCGTTTTTATATCCAGTAAATGCTTCTTAAATCATTGTAGAAATTATCTTTTCAAAAAGTGACCATGACTTTTGACTCAACTATTCAGTTTTGTTCAAAATAAGGCATACCACAAATGTTCAAATTGTATTATAGTTTGACTTTCCGTGATCGTCTGTCTACAAGGAATAGTATTTCCTAAATAATTTGCTTCAATTCGAAGATGTAATATATACCAATACCCTTGAGATGGTGATCATTGTCTGAATATTGTGTCTCTGAAAATTTTGTCAGCTTATGGATGATTTCTTACATCCGTTTCCATAGAGCACCGGTAGGATTGTAGCTGTGCAGCACAATCCGCCGATAATCATTACAGTGCAGTGAAAAACCTTCCTCCCAATACGATTGAGGAGCAGGAGGCATGAAGCATGGCCAGCTAGTTCAGTCAAAGCCGCAATGAATAGATTAGTATAGACGCTCCCGCCCAGATTAGCTACGTTGAGACCGAGTCCATAGAAACCAATACAGGCAACGAACCTGGAACATGAACAATATTTTGATTCATTGAACAGGGGGTATGGATCGAGGCTAGGTAGATGGGTGAGTGACAAGAATGACGAAATATAGCCCGTTTATGCTCCAGGAGAATGAAGCTTTGCACCATATGGCGATATGCTGTGAGTGAATGTTGTTTTGGCTACGCCTGAGAACGACTCTAACGCTGGAATGTGGGTTTGAAGGATTATAGCATGTATAATGTCGAACTGTTGGTGCGTTACTAACGCTGGTGAAACACGAAAAAACTGTAAACTGTGAAGAAGTATTCCGATGTACGAAAGTCCTACCAACTGAAAAACAACACAAGGCTTCGGATAACCAAAGACGGACGTTTGAACATCCGCCATAGCGGCACCTCCCTCTTCCGGTCTAGCCTATCTCCGCTGAACATATTACAGGGCAGGGTCGTCTTGTTGACATTGGCAGCATGACGTAATATTATGTCGGCTTCCTCATACCTCTGCTTACTGATCAACCAACGCGGAGACTCCGGCATCAACCTAGAACGATGTGTTGAAGTTGGTAAAACAATTGTGATCACCTGTGGGAATTCAAGAAACACACTCGATCACTAAAGTCATAAGTACATTATTTTTACGCAAGATGGTGTATATCCTCATAAAGTACGAATCTCATTTTTTCTTACAGCACATACCTTGCTTCATTTGAATCACAACTGATTGGTAAACTACTGAAGAGGAGCGAATGTTCACGATGTTTGATATTGATGTTTTATACACAAACAATGTCGTCTTCAAATTCCTCAGAAAATATATATACAAGATAATCATAGTGACCGCCGGTATCACCACAGACTTACCAATAATATGTCAAAAACAGAACTGTTGGCACTGAGCCTATCAGCTGCAAATGTTGCCAATTTCGGACAAAGTATGCAATCGCTGTTACAATTACAGATCCGAATGTCCAAAACATTTCGACTATGATTCCTGTCCAAACTCGATTTGAAGGGCCCACAAGCTCCACACCTGAAACCAAAAACATCCGTAACAAAGTGAATGTTTGCCAGAACATCAGGATATAGTATATATTAACAAGAGCCAATGTCGCAAGCTGGAACCTTAAGATGAAGAATTTGAGTCTGCACTTATCAAAATGAATCTACTACTCATCACCACATAAGTACATAGTACTGATAAACTATGATTCCTTGAAACAGTTAAGAAACTGTTAAACAGTTTGTCACTTTTTGGCGATGCAGAATTAAAAGGAAAGTGTATCTTCAGCGTGTAGACCAGTAGAAGTCGACATGAAATTAAGTTGACCCGGACATTTAGTATAACAAGCAAATTTGTGTTTTAAAATGATTTATAGGTCCCTGTGATGCTGAGAAAAAACAACAACCAAAATCAGCCTTGGGTAGAAAAAGTTATGACCACTTGAAAATGTACCTCAATGATGTGCGGAGGTTTCTTACATATGACATCAGTTGTATGACTAATATTATCTCCATTCATAGTAACAGCAAACAATGGCCGACATTGTTGTGACAACAAGTTTTGAAGCGGTGAAATTTGACATACAAGGTAAGAACTGCTGTGAGTTTTAAGAGAGGTTTCCATGGGGGAAATAAGCTTTGACAACTGTTGAAATGCATTGAGACATAAGGCATTGAGAAATAACTTCAAAATAGTCATGTTTGATCAATGCAAAATTTGAACAAGATAGATAGATTTGATTTTGAAATTTTAGGCTTCAAGGTCATGTAATATTATGGTTTTCCTACTAGTTTTTTCTTGTCATATGGTGATGGAGTAGATGTTCTAGGAGACAGATGCAATCAAATCTAGAATGAAATATTACCTTAAAAAATTATATAAAAATATATGGAACCCCTGCATACCAATGCACTCCTACTGATGCTAAATTCCCTCCGACTCATTACATAATAAAGCGTCTGTTGATAATTAAATCTTTGAGTAATTTGTAGTTAATGATAGTCAAAAACATATTTCAAATATAGATTATCAATGAAAATATTATTGTTCACTACACAATACATGGTTACCATGTGTATATTGATGAAACAGATTTGGATAGGCTTATTTTATTTTGGTGTATTAGTCTTTTAAAAATTGAATTAGTTCACTAAGTACCAATGAAAAGCAGATATGTTACACCTGCAAAACATTGTCCAAATAGTAGGATTCCAAGTTTAATTAATTCCAAAATTAATAGAAATTATGAATTAATTAAGAAATGAAATTAGAAAAACATTACCGAATTCACTAAAAGTGAGTGAAAATTGTAATGTCATTGGAATTTTTTCAATAAAACTTAAAATATGTACATAAATTAATGAAAATATTTACAAGTTTACCATTCCTGAAATACAAAGATGAATCATAAAAACATAGAAATTAAGCTCATACCATTTTGGTATGCCCATATTTCTAAAATTCCCGGGCTTTGCCTAAAGCACATGTCTTAAATTCTCACACACATTATAAGAGTTACCTCCCATATCAAACAAATAAAGTCAACTGTTCCTTGTTGACTAGTAAAATGATCATTCATATAAGCAAAATTTTAATGATTTTGAAAACATTTGAAATATTAATGAATTAATTTTTAATGCTTCAGGCATGTCTTTCTGCATCATTTGTAAGAAACCTGATGCTACAGTGACGCTTACAAGCAAGGGAATTCTTTCTCTGCTGAGTGTTTCTGAACAAAGAAAGGATGACCTGCATGAATATCTTTTCACAGTCAGACAATCATCACGTTCATGAAAATTGAAGAAAATCATACTCTGCAAAGAAAACGTTAAGGCAGCTCGGTCCATCACTCCTATTCGTATCCTAAGAGATTCAGAA